CCAATCAACCTGCTCCAAAGCAGCAAATTTGACTTTTCCATCGAAGATGCAAGCGCGACTCCCACGTTCAGCATACCACAAAATTCTTTACACTGTTTCACCATCGCTTAAAACAGTACCATCATCACTGGTCCATTATCACCGCGGACAAGTGGGTACTGGAAGTGGTACAATCTGGTCTCTCCATCCCCTTTCTCTCCATTTCCCCCTATCACTCTTCCTACTCCGTCCCTTTTCAGGGACCCCTCTCATGAGCATTTGCTGAAGCAAGAAGTTCAGCATCTTCTGAATATCAGTGCAATAGAGAGGGTACCAAGTCAGTTTTGGGGGGAAAGGATTTTATTCCCAGTACTTCCTTACCCCGAAGAAGACAGGAGGATAGAGACCCATTTTGGACCTACGCAGGTTAAACCGCTATCTCAGGAAACACTGTTTCAAGATAGTGATCCTAAATGCCATCATTCGATCGTTGAACAAGGGGGACTGGTTTGCAGTCCTCGACCTGCAAGACACCTACTTTCACATAGCAATCCATGTGGCACACAGGCATTTTCTCCATTTCCAGCTAGGCCAAGAACATTTCCAGTACAGAGTACTACCTTTCGGGTTGGCATGCGCACCCAGAGTTTTCACGAAAACCTTAGTGGCTGCCCACTTGTTCAGACTGGGAATGACAATTTTCCCATACTTGGACGATTGCCTCATAAGAGGCCTAACGTATTCAGAGGCCAAACACATGGTGACAACAGCCTCTCATAAACATGCAGAAATCCTCGCCAGAACCTACACAAGATCTGATTTTCATAGGGGCGAGGCTTGACTCGAAAACAGCGCGCGCTTACTTACCTGCCAAATGTTTTGCCGCCATTCAAGATCTTGTTCACACGCTGGCGCATGCCCCGATGATTCCTGTCAGTGTCGTTACAACTACTGGGACACATGGCTGCCTCAACAACTGTTGTTCAAAACGCAAGGTTACATTTTCGCTGCCTCCAACACTGGCTGCAGTATATACTCCAGTAAGGGACAGCATTCACAAGGTGGTGATGATACCACCACATGTACAACAATCCCTGCAATGGTGGACCAAGCCGACCAATCTTACGGTGGGTATTCCCTTTCACCGCCCACAACTGTTGAAGCAAATAACAACGGATGCATCCCTTACTGGCTGGGGAGCGCATATGGACAATATGACAGTTCAAGGTCGCTGGTCTACGCAGGAGATGCTCTTACACATCAACGTTCTCGAGTTAAGAGCAGTGCATCATGCATGTCAGCATTTTCAGTCCCATATAAGGAATACGACCATCAGAATCCTTACGGACAATATTGCCACCATGTACTACGTAGACAGAGAGGAGCTCGATCCCTATCCCTCTATATAGAAGCGATGCACTTGTGGAAGTGGTGTATCCACATCAATACCGTCCTGACAGCCACCTATTTGCCAGGTGTCCAGAATACTATTGCGGACTCGATCAGCAGGCTGTTTCCCCACAACCACGAGTAGGAACTTCGCACAGACATTCTGCATGGTATTTTCGCCCAATGGGGGTTCTCCTCAATAGATCTGTTTGCTACTGCTGCCAACGCCAAGTGCCCCAATTATTGCTCCAGGGCAAGATTCAGACACCACTCCTTGGGAGATGCTTTTCTTCACAATTGGGGAACATCACTACTATACGCCTTTCCCCCGATCGTCCTAGTTTCCAGGATCCTGGAAAAGATCACTATAGAAAGGGCTCGAGTAATCCTCAAAGCCCCAGCTTGGCCACGGTGGCCTTGGTATTCAATACTCCACCAGATGTCTATTAGGACACTGTACACCCTTCCTCTGCTTCCAGACCTCTTGACTCAGGACAACGGCTCCCTTTCTCATCTGAAACCCGAAACATTACACCTCACGGCGTGGATGCTCGATGGTTCAATCCGGTCGAACGCTCATGCTCACAGAGAGTCAAGCAAGTATTAATACACAGCAGAAAAGACTCCACTCGAAAGACCAACCTCGCCAAGTGGGCCAGATTTGAAGCATGGTGTGGCAGTGATGCTCACATTGCAGGAATATCCCAGATACTTGATTACATTTTGCACCTCCACGACATAGGCCTTGCAATAGCCTCGCTGCAAGTGCATGTAGCAGCAATTAGTGCTTTTCATCAGAGTCAGGATGGGTTCTCTGTATTTGCTCATCCCATCACAAAGAGGTTTCTGAAGGGACTTACGAACCTCAACCCACCACGATGACCACTACCACCTTCTTGGAATTAAGACTTCGTTCTGGATTCTCTGACACGCCCCCCCCTTTGAATCCTTGGCTACGATACCATTACAGCTTCTAACCGCAAAATTGCTTTTTCTTCTTGCCACTACATCAACTCGCAGAATGAGTGAAATAGCTGCCACTACGGCAGCCAACGCCAAGTGCCCCAATTATTGCTCCAGGGCAGGGATCAGACGCCACTCCTTAGGAGATGCTTTTCTTCGCAATTGGGGAACGTCATTACTATACGCCTTTCCCCCGATTGTCCTAGTTCCCAGAATCCTGGAAAAGATCACTATGGAAAGGGCTCGAGTAATCCTCATAGCCCCAGCTTGGCCACGGCAGCCTTGGTATTCAATACTCCACCAGATGTCCATCAGGACACCGTACACCCTTTCTCTGCTTCCGAACCTCTTGACTCAAGACAACAGCTCCCTGTGTCATCCGAAACCCAAGACCTTACACCTCACGGCGTGGATGCTTGCTGTTTCAACCCGGTCGAACGCTCATGCTCACAGAGAGTCAAGCAAGTATTAATACACAGCAGAAAAGACTCCACTCGAAAGACCAACCTCGCCAAGTGGGCCAGATTTGAAGCATGGTGTGGCAGTGATGCTCACATTGCAGGAATATCCCACATACTTGATTACATTTTGCACCTCCACGACATAGGCCTTGCAATAGCCTCGCTGCAAGTGCATGTAGCAGCAATTAGTGCTTTTCATCAGAGTCAGGATGGGTTCTCTGTATTTGGGTTTTCTATATTTGCTCATCCCATCACAAAGAGGTTCCTAAAAGGACTTAAGAACCTCAACCCACCACTACGACCACCACCTGGAATTTGGACTTCGTTCTGGATTCCCTGACACGCCCCCTTTTGAACCCTTAGTTACGATACCATTATAGCTTCTGACCACAAAACTGCTTTTTCTGCTTGCCATTACATCGACCTGCAGCATGAGCGAAATAGCTGCGTTCATGTCGTCACCTCCTTACACGATTTTTACTAAGGAGTCGGTGACTTTGAGATCTCATCCAGCATTTGTTCTGAAAGTTTGTTCGGATTTCCACACGAATGATTTCCACACAAATGAGAGTTCTTCCCTGTTTCTATCCCAAGCCTCATGCTTCAAGGGAAGACGCAGTGCTGCACACACTCGATGTGAGGAGCGCATTAGCTTTTTATATCGAAAGAACGCAACGCTTTAGGAAATCGGATCTCCTAATAGTGTCGTTAGCAGATCGAACCAAGGGACAACCCATCACTTCCCAACGGATTGCGAGATTAATAGTGTCGTGTATTACAACCTGTTACTCCATATGTAACAAACCTCTTGTGTGTTCTCCTAAGGCCCATTCTACGAGAGCAGTAGCCACGACTACAGCTTTTCTCAGAGGTGTTCCATTCTGAGACATTTGTTGAGCAGCAACATGGTCCTCGCATTCTACCTTTGAGGCATTACGCTATAGTAAACCAATTTGCTGCCGATTCCTCAGTGGCTACGGCAGTCCTTTCCCATATTCAAAAACCTTAATTCCAGAGCGCTCTAATGTTCGAGTACTGCTACGAAGTCACCTAGAGTGGAGCACCCACGGGGCCACTCGAAGAAGAAGTTACTCACCCTGTGAAGTAATGATTGTTCTTTGAGATGTGCCCCGTGGGTGCTCCATGACCCGCCTTTCCTCCCCGCTCCGGAATTTTTCATTTTTCTCATTTCAGGGAGCAGTTGAGAGGAATTGAGCAAGCCGGACCGTGCGCAACACATCAAAGGCGCGAACGCCGCCTCTGGCAGCCACGCATGCGCGGTCTGGCGGACCACGGCTCTGATAGCTCTCCGATTCGCAGCACTGGGATGAGACCCAACACCTGGAGTGGAGCACCCACCAGGCACATCTCGAAGAACAATCGTTACTTCACAGGGAGAGTAACTTCTTCTTTCACTTTCGACATGATGCTTCTTCGAAACAGCGCCATGATGCAATTATGCAAGTGAAGCACGGGATATTTAAATACCCACTTCATTTGCACTTTTGAAATGTCTAATTTACATCTCTCTGCCGATAGAGGGGTGTACTTTAGACGTAGCCTAAATCTCATGCATTAAGGGTGAAGTTTACTGTTAACTGGTTAAACCTTCACATCCCTAGTACCAATTCTTATTATGCTAACGTTTGGTACTAGTTGCTCATTTGTAAAGTTAGTGACCAGGGCAAATTTAACCCTGAATGTGGTATTATAAAAACAAGATTTTAAAAAATGAAAACAGAAATATTTATATTATTTTTTAAAAAATTCAGTGGAAATAATTTAAAAATAAACATTTCCTTAAAAGCTGGTTCCCCAAGGGCACCAGGACTGCCTTCCCCACCTAGCTGCAGTGGCTACAGAGGGTGGGGGAGGGTACAGTCATTAGGATTAACCAATAAACCACGCGTATCAGTTAATAGTTTAAACGTCTATATGCTAACATCCATAATTTGCAATCAATGTTTTGTGCTAATGTTCTGGCACAGTAAAACCTAAAATTGAAAATAAAATAAATATTAACAAAATCAGAATGAAATTACCATCCTGTAGTATCTCAGGTCACAACTGACTTTCCTGACACTTAGACTTCCTAGTCTTCAGTAGCTGTAATAATTGCATGGTATCATTTGACAAATGTCACTTGTACATTGGGCCAAATCCTGCTGCTTATATTCTCATGAATAGTCTCACCGACTTTCATTTCAGACAGTCAAAGACTGCGAATGGACTTGCAGAAAATGGAATTGTTGGAGGGTAAGATGGTTGATGAACAGGCTTCTCTCAAAGAAAAAATTGAACAGATGACAAAGGACTTGGAAATGTACAATAATTTGCCAGCTCTGAAAGCATCAGGAGAAGAGAAGAAAAAGGTAGCAACAGTTGTATTTGGATTTATCTACATTGTAAATTCTTTGGGGAAGAGAACATCTTTCTGTTCCATCTTTGTACAGGAACCATATAGCTCTGGTCCATGACTGAGGCTGTTAGTTGCTACCACAGTACAAATAATAAAAACATTGCCTGTGTTCAGAGTTCAGCAACTAATATTTTGAAACTTATATTTGTCATACTGTGTTCAGACAGAGTCTGGTTTTATGTGTTTATAAAAACATGTTGGGAAGTAATTTGTTTAAAGGTTTGAAGTAAATGACATCAAATCTACCTCTGCTATGTTTCACACAGTAATAACAAGAATATCACCTAGTTCTTATATAGCTCCTTTCATCAACAGATCTTAAATTGCTTTGCAAAGGCGGTCAGCATCTTTATTCTCAATTGACAAATAGTGAAACAGTGTTGAAGTGACTAGTTCAAAATCACTTAGAAGGCCAGTGGTAGGATCAGGAAGAGAGAGCCCAACATCAGGCCAATGCTCTATCCAGTATACAATGCAGCCTTGTACTATTGCATGCTGTCATGACCGCATTTCTAGAATTAACATGAAGGAGACCCTGGACATTTGTGCCTCATTTCACGTCACCAGGTGTGCATTTTTAATAGCTATATCTTGTTCATAGGTATTAAATGCAACTTCTCATGCTAAGTGTTAATGTAGCTTATGAAATATTTGTAGGACACATTTTGAATTCTTTGTGTATACCTTCTTGGCTGGGGAGTTAAAAAAAAAATAGCTCTTAGAAGGTTAAATTGAAAACAGTTTAACAGTAAGGACCAGTGTTCCCTCTAAGCTGCACAACAGCACAGCTTCACAGGTGATTAATCAGCCCCACCCAGTGAGTATGGCTAAACTGCGGGGACGAGGGGTTGGGATACCTCCGGTATCCGAAAAAACTCCGCCGCGTCCAGGGAACACGTTTGTTCTTCCACTTTTTTTTGCGGAAGAGCAAATGCACTCTTTTGGAAGCTCCTGTATTCCTTGTTCCATGAGGAAGAAGGGGGCTTTCAAAGGGGGTGGGTTCCGAAATTTGGCCCAGTCTAGATGGGCCAAATTTTGGAAAAGCCTCTTCCAACAAAAGTATCGGAAAAAGATACGCAAAATCCGGGGTGCATTTTGCATATCTTTTTCCGATAGGTCCTCGCAATCTAGCCATACCCTCTGTGTACAGACTGGGCAGAGCTGATTAATGACCTGTAAAGCTGTGCTGCATGCAGCTTAAAGGGAACACTTGTTGGGCCACCTTTCCACATTAAATTTGATTGAATTCCTGAAATAGACACTCTGGTGATAAATATATTAGAAATTCTTAGATTCAAAGGACTTGGCAGTTTTAATAGACGATCAATACCTTAAAAAGCATTTAAACCATTTTAATAGAAATGTAGCCGTGTTAGTCTGGGGTAGCTGAAGCAAAATGCAGGACTATGTAGCACTTTAAAGACTAACAAGATGGTTTATTAGATGATGAGCTTTCGTGGGCCAGACCCACTTCCTCAGATCAAATAGTGGAAGAAAATAGTCACAACCATATATACCAAAGGATACAATTAAAAAAAATGAACACTTGAAAAGGACAAATCACATTTCAGAACTGAAGGGGGATACGGGGGGGGGGGGGGGAGAGAAGGTAAATGTCTGTGAGTTAATGATATTAGAGGTGGGGAAAGGGAGATGTCTGTGAGCTAACGGTATTAGAGGTGATAATTGGGGAAGCTATCTTTGTAATGGGTAAGGTAGGTGGTGTCTTTGTCCATTCCCCCCCTCCGGAGAATGTCGAATTTTAGCATGAATGACATGCTGAAATTCGACACTCTCTGGGGGGGATTGAACAGAGACCCCAACTACCTTACCCATTACAAAGATAGCTTCCCCAATTATCACCTCTAATACCGTTAGCTCACAGACATCTCCCTTTCCCCACCTCTAATATCATTAACTCACAGACATTTACCTTCCTTCCCCCCCCCCCCCTCCGTATCCCCCTTCTGTTCTGAAATGTGATTTGTCCTTTTCATATGTGTTCATTTTTTTTAATTGTATCCTTTGGTATATATGGTTGTGACTATTTTCTTCCACTATTTGATCTGAGGAAGTGGGTCTGGCCCACGAAAGCTCATCATCTAATAAACCATCTTGTTAGTCTTTAAAGTGCTACATAGTCCTGCATTTTCCTTAAACCATTTTATTCTTCTTTCTCTAGAAACTTCATGAGGAAAAAGAAAGATTGTTAAAACGTAGAGATGCCTTCAAGAAAATAATGGAACAACTGAATGCAGAGTATGAAACACTAAAGACACAGCTTCAGGAGAATGAAACACATTCCCAGGTATAGTTAAAAATTGGGTATCTCTTCCATTGTTTTATTCCAGGTTTTGAGTTTCTCAAATACGTCAACCTTTATTTGAATGAATCAGTTAGGGTTTTTTAAGAGGAATGCATAGACTTTGGAATAAGTTCTCAAAGCTGTGGAGTGCAATTCCATAGCTAAATCCTCTAATTTCTTCTGCTGGATATTAGCATTTCCTTCCTCCCTCCCCCCAATCAGTTTATTGAAAGTTGACAGTTTCAAGCATCGTGAGAACCAGCCTCTCTCTACATTGGGCCTGGGCATCCTGCAGGTAGGAGCTGTTCTGACCAGGCTAGAGCAACCCCTGCCTGGGGGGATTCGGGACTTTCCAGTCAGACTGCCATATTGTTTAACTAGTTAACCAATTAAAGTGGGGCAAGGAGGGGGACAGGCCAGAGGCACTCAACTGGGATTTTGCATCCCTACTCAGGTTTATTTAGTATTTTTAGTTAATAAAAATAGACTCCAGGAAGTTGATTTTGTAATGAGTATGTAGTTTGTGTTTGGACCTAAGTTGAAACTTCCCCAGTTTGTGTGTCTTCAGTCAAATCCCTCTTATGACCAACTACTCCTGTGTTTTAAAAATAAAAATAAAAAGTTTCAGAGAAGTAGCCATTAGTCTGTAACTTTAAAAACAAGTAGTCCTGTCACACCTCTGAGATTAACAGAAATTATCTCTGTGCTGAGCTGGAGCAGCCCCAGGACCCGGAGGTTGCAGCAGGACTGCAGGCAGGACAGCCATGGCTGCAGCAGGACAAGGTAGCAGGCTGGGCAACAAGCCCAGAATATAAGCAATTAAACAAATAACAGTTTTAATAGTCCTAGTATTGTGTATTCTGCCCAATTAGAATGTAAGATTTTGCATCAGAGAACATGGCTGCTTCTTCAAGTAGTGTCCACATGGGTGCTCTACTGTAGGTGTCAGGCTCATCCGAGTGCCGCAGGTTGGAGATTTTCAAGAGCCGTAGTCAGCCGCACCAAGCATGCACGTCCAGCGTCTTGCGCTGTTCTCACCCTTTGATCGTCGCGCAGTCCGGCTGCCGCTTGTTCCTCTCAACTGTCTTCGGGCGCAGAGGGAGCTCTTCCTTTCTCCCATCCTGTCAGAGAGATTCAATTATAAGATTAGTTTGTTATAGTTATCTTGTAAATAGTTAATTTTAATCTTAGTCTAGTTAGTTACTCTGTTATTTAAAAAAAAAAACTTCTTGGATTCCGTTGTCCCTCTTGGACTTTTTTTTTTTTTTTAAAGAGGGAGGGAGGGGAGAGAGACAAGGAGAAGAAGAGTCTGAGTGCAAAATGCCTGGTTCACCAGGTTTTAAAAAGTGTGGTATCTGCCGTGAAGCCATGTTGGCCTTGGATAGACATACATCATGTATTCATTGCTTAGCGGAGGCGCACAATCCACAAAAGTGAGTCCATTGCTCAGAGCTCATGTCCAGAGCCCGCAGAGATAGGGAAATGCGCCTAAGAATGATTGTTTCATAAGGTGCTCTAACTGTCAGATTCCTCGACTGCGCCCGTCTCAGAATCAGCGGCGCCTCAGAAGTGGAGAGCATCATCGCCAGGCACAGCGCCAGCCCCCACCAAGACAATAAGGGCTTCTCCAACTCGCTCTTTGCCTGCTGTTCCTACTAGCAGGGTGAGCACAAGGGACAAGCCGGAATATCCAGCACCGCCCTCAGCACAAAAGCACTGGCTACTAAACAGAAAAAAGGCACCAACACTGGTGACAACGCAGCAAACAGCGCTGATAGCAAAGGCGCCAACCACGGTACCAACGAGAAAACCACCAACCAGAAACTGCATCAATGGCGTTGGAGACATCGGATGGGCATAGCTCCGTGCTGACACTGGCACCAACACGACTGGCACTGACGTCTCCAGAACCAACACCGACCTTGTCCTCACCGATCCATTCTGGGATGGGAGCAGCACTGAGAAAAGTAGCGGCAAAGTCTGACAGCAACCCTTTCTCTGCCTCTCCTTCACTTACCTTTTCACCGGCACCATCCTTGTCTCCTCCACTGGAGTTCCCCGGTACCGAGTATGTACCTTGAACATCCTTCAGCATGCTCATATTCTCCCTGATGGAGGTCTCCCTCTCCATACCATTCAACAATGCATAGACATGAGGCAGGATATGGGAGACGATACTCCCTTTTGCCACCATGATCACTAAGCTACCTCCATTCTCCTATGCTGTCTCCACGGTCGTTGCACTACAGCCAGTGCAGGAGTGTTTTGTCTTCCAGGCGGTCCTCACCAGCACCATCTGATCATTATTATTGGCATTCCAGACCATTTTATTATCACCACCGGTCTTGCTCCCATAGGCGATCCCTGTGTTGTCATCGATCACGCAGACATCGTTCTCCCCCCCAACAATGACATGGGGAACAACAAATTCCAACTATGCCCCCCCCAGCCTGATGCAACAATCACACCAGTCAGAACCCGAAGAGGGTCAGCTGACAGATGCTGAAGATCCCCAGACTGACACGTCTCCTACCAGCCTCTCATTGTCATCCCCTGATGATGCAGTAATACCAGGGGATGTCACACCACCAGATGATATCAGACAATTCCAAAAATTGTTCAAGCGGGTTGCAGATGGTCAAGAGGTTCAACTACAGGAAATTCAGGGCAAGCAGTACCGTCTTAAGAACCTTCACCCTCAACATTGGTCAAAGGCAGCACTGCCAATCGATCATGGAGGCTGCAGAAGAAATCTGGCAAACCCCATCTTCCATCCCACCAACCAGTAAGTGGGCCGACAAAAAATATTTTGTGCCATCCAAGGGACTAGAATTCTTGTTCAACCGCCTACAAGCAAATTCCCTAGTTGTGGATGCAGCACAACAGAGGGCTAAGGTGCCACGATATAGGAACACACCATCCGACAAAGAGAGCAAAAAATTGGGTATCTTTGGCAGGAAAATATATTCCTCAGCCACTGGCTCCTCAGGATTTCAAACTACGCCACTCTGTTGTCAAACCACAACTTCAATAACTATACAAAGTTGACTGAGTTGATGCAATGCCTATTGGAGGCCAAAAGGGCTATTGCTTAGCAAGAGCAGGTCTGCAAATTGCTCTCTGTGGCTGACACAGCGGCCTGTTCCATGGCCACAGCTGTAGCCATGAGGAGATCTTCATGGCTGGCGTCTGCTGGGGTACCAAAGGAACTCCAGGGCAAGGTGGAGGACCTCCCATTAGAAATGCAAATGCTGTTCACAGAAAAGACAGATGAGGTTCTCCACTCAGGAAAGGATACCAGGACCACACTGCAAACATTGGGGATGTACACGCCCCCATGTAGACACAGGCGCTACACCCCTCAAAGAAGGTATGATCAACCGTACTTCCGACAACAGCAACAGCATTGCACTTTCGACCAGCTGCGCATGAAACAGCATCCTCAATGCAGACGCAAGCACACCACCCATACATCCACTCAGGCAGCCCCCAGACAACAAATTTGACTCCTCAATCAAGGGCACTCAAACATTACACGTTGTCGACCCACAACACCAAGGGTTTCATATTTTCCATCACTGCCTGTGGCCATTTTATTGCCAATGGGCCGGGATTACTTCAGACCATTGGGTGTTGGAGATTGTATCGCAAGGCTTCACCATCCCTTTCCAAGCTCTTCCTCCTTCCTTCCCACCCACCCTGTCCTTCTTCAGGGACCTCTTCTCATGAGGACTTACTTGAAACAGGAGGTCCATCGCTTTTTGCATATCGCCACTGTGGAGAGGGTACTGACAGCGTTCACGGGAAAAGGGTTTTATTCTCACTATTTCCTCAAAGAGAAAAAAACAGGAGGCTGGAAACCAATACTCGACCTTCGCAGGCTCAGTCTCTATCTACGGAAAAAATGATTCAAGATGGTGACCCTAGCTACTATAATTCCTTCTTTAGACAACGGAGATTGGTTTGCGGCCCTCGACCTGCAGGATGCTTACTTCCACATCACCATTCATCCAGCGCACAGACACTTCCTGCTCTTCACAGTTGCCAATGAGCATTTCCAATATCGAGTCCTACTCTTCGGACTTGCATCCGCCCCCAGGGTAGTCTCAAAAATCCTGGTGGTAGTGGCAGCCCACCTGCGTTGG